ATATATATATATATATTGGCTTTGACTAAACGCTGTAAACGCTGGCTTGGGTGCCAAAATTGGTCTGAAAAATTATCTACGCATGCCTAGAAGTATCACTCCGGGAGCAATGACAAGGTTAAAATATCGTGATTTTTCTCTTTTGTATGCTCTGAAATCTGAATCTTTTTTGTTTTCTTTTGTTTTGTTTTTTTTTTGGTTGATTATACTTTAGGTTACAGATGTTGTTTTCTTGGATTCTGGTAAGAAGCTTGTTACTTCTTCAAAAGATAAGTTTTTGAGAGTGTGGGACCTTGAGACACAGCACTGTATGCAAATTGTTAGTGGGCATCACAGTGAAATTTGGTCCATAGACATTGACCCAGAGGAAAGGTTTTTGGTCACTGGGTCCGCAGACCCGGAGCTTAGATTTTATACGGTTAAGCATGAGTCAGGGGATGGGCAATCCGTAGACAAGGTGGAAGGAAATGAGATTGTGCATGGTGGGGATTTGCCAACACAAGATAAATGGAATGTTCTGAAGCAGTTTGGTGAGCTTCAGCGACAAAGCAAGGATAGGGTTGCAACTGTGAGGTTCAACAATTCCGGAAATCTGCTGGCTTGTCAAGTGGCGGGAAAGACGGTAGAAATATTCCGCGTGTTGGATGAGGCTGAGTCGAAGCGGAAAGCTAAACGCAGGCTTCACCGTAAAAAGGAGAAGAAATCTGCTAAAGGAAAGGAAGAGGAGGTGATGGGAAATGGAGAAACAAGTCACGTAACAGGAGAAGGGAATAGCCTTGTAGTTACAGTCCCCGATGTTTTCAAGCTCATCCAAACTGTTAGGGCTGGCAAAAAGATATCTTCCATTTCTTTCTCTCCAATCACGCCAAAGAGTTCTTTGGCTACAATAGCTTTGTCATTGAACAATAATCTATTAGAATTTTATTCAATTGAAGAAAATGCAACCCATAAAACTCTTGCTATAGAGCTTCAGGGACACCGGTCAGATGTCAGGAGTGTTACCCTTAGCTCAGACAACACACTTTTGATGTCGACTAGCCACAGTGCGGTGAAGATTTGGAATCCAAGTACTGGTTCTTGCCTCCGGACCATTGATTCTGAATTTGGACTCTGTAGTTTAATTATTCCTCAGAATAAGTATGGAATAGTTGGAACAAAAGGTGGAAAACTGGAAGTAATTGACATTGCCAGTGGCACTTGCATTGAGGCAGTGGAAGCCCATGGTGGCTCCATTCGTTCCATTGCAGCCATTCCCCATGAGAATAGCTTTGTCACTGGAAGTGCAGATCATGAGGTCAAGTTCTGGGAGTATCGAGTTGAACAAAAATCAGCTCAAGTATGTTTTTCCACCACCTTCTTTACAGTTATAATTTTATTATCGTAAAAAAAAAAACAAAAAAAAAAAAACTCAGCATTATAATCTCATAAATTATGTGAATTGTTTAACTGAACAGTTTTCCGGCATTATACTATGATATACAATTGTAACTCTGTGTGTTGCTCTTCATTTCAGAATTAATTTCATAATTTCATCTTGTCTCTGAACTAAATTGATGAAACTTTTATATTTGCTGGATTAGCAATATTGAAGCTCTTTGCTTTTTAGGAATCTAAGCACCTTAAGGTGTCAACTGTAAGGACTATGAAGATGAATGATGACGTTCTTGCCATTGCTGTTAGTCCTGATGCTAAGTACATTGCTGTGGCTCTGTTGGATAACACGGTGAAGGTGAGATTGACTTGTCATATTTGTTTTTATTTATTTATTCATATATGCGTTTTATTTTTACTTTGATCAGTTTTCTTGTTTCATAATTTTGCTATGTTGTAAAGAGTCATAGTTTATGAAGTACTTGAATTTGTGAATTTTAGTTTCTGTGTTTACTGTTTATCTTGTTCTTTTAGTTTTGGTCAGCTCTTCAATCCTGGCCTTTTTTGTATCTTTTCGGCTTAAATATACCTTGTCCTCTGCCTTTGTTTATCGATCTTTATCAATAAAGTTTTTATTATAAAAAAAAAAAGTAGTTCAAGGTGCAAAGGAGAAGGCAAAGGGAAGTCTGATAGCAGAGTATTCCTTCTCAAAAAAAAAAAAAAAAGGAGTGTTCATTCTTCTGCATAAAAGTTCCCTCTACAAATATAGGCAGCTTGATTGGGTGTCAGTTGCATTAGTTTGTATCTTTTGCTGGTCTTCTTATGCATTGATGAATTCTTTTCAGGTTTTCTATATGGATTCTCTCAAGTTTTTCCTTTCCTTGTATGGTCACAAGCTGCCTGTGCTTTGCATGGATATCTCATCAGATTCAGATCTCATCGTTACTGGCTCAGCAGATAAAGATTTAAAAATTTGGGGTTTAGATTTTGGTGACTGTCATAAATCCATTTTTGCTCATAAAGAGAGGTGATGCTTGTAAATGAATATAAAATTAAAGATGTTTATTTGGTCTTTTTATGGCCGAGGTTTTACAAACAATTCTCATCACTTAGTTTCCTGTTGCAGCATTACAGCTGTGCAATTTGTACGGAATACCCATTACCTGTTTAGTGTTGGGAAAGATAACCTAGTTAAGTACTGGGATGCTGATAAATTTGAGTTGCTTTTAACTCTCGAAGGGCACCATGCTGATGTTTGGTGCCTTGCTGTCAGTAGCCGTGGCGATTTCATTGTCACGGGGTCTCATGATCGATCCATGCGACGCTGGGACCGTAGTGAAGAGCCATTTTTTATCGAGGTAATTGATTCTTATTCCTATGAGAATGAGTGCACTAAAGTTGTTTTATTACATAAGGATATGGTACTAAAAACTATGTATTTCTGCATTATTTTGATAAATGACCCAATTGTTGTATGATGGTCCATTTGTGTACAGGAAGAAAAAGAGAAAAGGTTGGAACAGGAGTTGGAGACTGATCTCGACAATGCATTTGAGAATAGATATGCTCCTAAGGAGGAAATCCCAGAGGAAGGAGCGGTGGCTTTAGCAGGGAAGAAATCAAAGGAAACCCTTTCTGCAACAGATTCAATTATTGACGCTCTAGACCTTGTGGAGGTGGAATTGAAGCGAATTGCTGAACATGAGGTATATATATGGTTTGCTTATGCACCCAAATTTAACTGGTGAACTAGAAGGTTAAATTTCTTTGGCTATGGAAACAGTGATGGTTACAATAGTAAGTGTTCACATCTATTATATATCCCAATTAAGTTGTTGTGCGTTGTTATTTTCAGGAGGAGAAAGCCAGGGGAAGAGTTGTGGAGTTTCAGCCAAATGTTGTGATGCTTGGGCTGTCCCCGTCTGACTATGTTCTACGAGCACTTTCAAGTGTTCAGACGAGTGATCTAGAACAGACACTATTGGTATGCATATGGTGTGCTTATATCAGCACATTGACACTAGATAATGTTCTATAATTATACTAGGCAAATCTTCCTTTTTTTTTTATATTTTTAATTTCAGACATTAGGAGTGAAAGGCTAATTACAACTATTCTTATGTGCAGGCTTTACCATTCTCAGATGCTTTGAAACTTCTAGCTTACTTGAAGGAGTGGACTTCAAATCCTGACAAGGTATTTGGGAAGTTTGGCTACTGGACATGCTTATGTTGATAGTTTCGACGAATGGGATTTACTCGTTGAAGTATTTGCTTTCATGCTGGCTTATGGCAATGTGCTGACAAAATTTGTATTTCAGATTGAACTCATATGCAGGATTGCTACGGTGCTATTGCAAACTCATTATAATCAGTTGGTTTCTACTCCTACTGCAAGACCTGTGCTGACAGCCCTTAAAGATATCCTTTACGCTAGAATCAAGGTAGTTCCATTTTGTTAGGTTAACTGGCCTTAATCGTAGATCTGATGGGTTTAGGATGTAGAGTTTCAAATTGGTCCTGGCCGGGAAAAAGTGTGACTTATTTTACTGTATTTATACTACATATGTACGTGGGGGAAAAATGTTGGTTGACATCATTGGGGCTGAATTTGTGACAGGAATGCAAAGACACCCTTGGTTTCAACCTTGCAGCTATGGATCATCTCAAGGTACACATATAAATATCCTGGATCTTTCAGTAGATATAATGATCTTTTCTTTCCTAACTTCTTATTTGATATTTCAGCAACTTATGGCGTCAAGATCAGATGCACTCTTCAAAGATGCGAAGTCTAAATTACTGGAAATCCGTTCACAGCATTCAAAACGTCTAGAAGCAAGAACAGACACAAGGGAAGAAAATAGGAGGAAGAAAAAGAGCAAGAAATAAAGTGACATACGTGCTCGAACGTCATGGTGATTGAAAAGAGTGTTCAAGAAATCAAATACACCAGCGGCAAATTTGCGATCGACTTTTTCTTGAAAGGTGATTGAAGTTTGTCTGCGTGATGGAACGGCCTTGAGGGCATCACCAACTTTACCATGGATCATACAGTAGGGCAGGTGATCACTTATCCAGGCTTTCCAGTATATGTGGAGCACCTAGTCTGGCGCCCAACAGCTGGTATCAGGATTTCTTCCAATTTTGTAGCGTTTAGGTAATTATTGGTGTAATTTTATCAACTGTTTCTTGATTTGTTACCAAGAATGTGTATGTACTCTGAACTCATTTCGGAATGTACTTTGTGTTAATGTGGTTTCCTGACTTTTACCAGAAAAAGAACTGCTGCTTTATTCATCAAAATAGCAATTAATGGAAAATGAGAGGGTTATGTTTCGTCTTTCTTTCCCGAACAATGCTATAGAGTACCGTAGCATCACCGACTAATAGAAGGTGGGTGGTGGTGGTGGTGGTGTTTAGCTTTCGTGGTGCTCCCAAGTTCCCCCCCGAGTAGCATTTTGGAAATAGTCGTATCATACACAATCCAGAAAAAATTGATTCTCTGGACTTGTTACATTGAATTCAAGGTAAAAGGGTAAGTTAAAAAACAAAACAAAGCAACTAATTTAATTCCCCGCTTTTGCATTTAGTATAGCCGGGCAAACTTATTCCTTTTTATGGATTTGACAAACAAATTCAGCCAAGGTAGGTTCATTAGAATCATGCATAGTTGGAAAGTAATCTGAATAGGTTAGTAGAAGTAGTAGTTGTGCTTCTTTCTATCTAAAATTCTTTCCTTCAAAGGTCTGACCAAACTGCCAAGTCTTGGGGGCGATATGCCAAGAGGTTGAGAATCTGCCATCACTTGCTCTAACCCTGAAAGTCAGTGATTCCCCAACCATCTTAGCATCAGTCACCCATTTCTGACCCCACATGCGCTTCATTGGTGTCCATTTCAGGTCTTTGTTTCCCTTCACTTGCAGGCTCACGACATCCCCGGCTCCACCCACGTTCCACACCAACACTTCGTTGAAGTAAGGATTCCCGGTTACGGTGAATCGGATTCCTCCTTGTTTTTGGCATGGGACCCTGCAAAAGGAAAGCCATGAGGATCTGTCTAGACAAAATCTTACATTATATGATATGTTGTGGCTTTGTGTGTTGAGAACACGAAAAGTAACCTGCGGTACGAGACGGGAATAATGCCGCCCCTGTACTCGGCAATCTTAAGGAAGACGGGCTTGGCTATGTCGAAATGGTGGCGAGGGGGGTTGCACCATCCTCCATTATCACTTGATTGGTAGTAGTTTGGTGGGCAGTGGTTTGTTGCTGAGACAAAGAGAGATGGCTGCCCCAGCTTGCACCATTGAGGGTCATCCATACATTTGATTTCATAGCACGCGCCACATGACTGTCCCTTGTTGAACAAAGCTTCGCTCAGTGCTACCGTCTCTAGGCCATAGCCTTCCCTCACCACGTCGTCGTAACCGCAAGCTCCCCCTAGGCTCAAAAAATTTCTTATTACAAGTTAGTTACCATGAAAAGTGTTAATTGTGTTGGAAAAAACATGGGTTAGTTCTCAGATATTATGGCATTTTTAGCGTGATTTATGCAAGTCATAAATCATAATCTCATTCATTACTACTATATGTGAAATTAGGATATGAAAGTTTAAAACATATAATGAGTGACTGATCATGTGTTCAATATGATTGCATAATTAATTTGGGCGATACGAGTATGGTATTACCTAAGTTTAAAACATAGTTTTTTTTTTTTTAATACAAGCTAGCTACTTTCAACTTCAAGATTCGAGCCTGAGATCTCTTCTTTAAACCCACCCCATCCTTACCAATCAGGCTAGCACCGATTAGCATAACCATGTTCTTTTGTAACTATCGTCATTTCTTTTTATTACGGACCATAGAGAAGAAAATTCATAAAAATATATATTTATATATATTTTTTTTGTATTGGAGATTTATGCCTTTCTTAATCACTATAAGAAAGGACAAAACTAAAAGAAGTCAAAGAGCCTGTTTGGTATCATTTTCGTTTTCATTTTTCACGTTTTTTAAGATAAAAAATAAAGATTGAGGAAAACGCGTTTGAAAGAAAAAAAAAAGTGAAAAAATGAAAACAAAAATAGTTTTTGGTTTAGTGTAAATTGACTTAAAAACTGAAAACGAATTTAAGTCGTTTTTCACTTTCAGTTTTGGGTGGATGCCTTTTTTTTAAGGCAAGTGGGTGTGGATTTAAATAAACTAACAAAGTGCTCTTAAATTAAAAATAAAAATTGCATAACTAATCAGAGTTTCAATTTTTTCTTATACTACAAACAATATCTTAATAAAACTACCAAACACATTTTCAGAAATAATTTTTGTTTGAGATTAAAAATGTTTTCATTTCTAGTTTCATATAAAAAATAGAATCATTTTGGAATAAATTTTAAACGCACCGAAAGTTTCCTAATTTTTTCTTTGAGGTTTCCATATAAATTTTTGATAGGTCCAACAAATAATGGACAAACTTGAGGATTTTCATACCCAAAGCAACAGCGTGCACGTGGGAATATGAATAAAGCTTATAATACGCTGGCAGCCAATCCTTGATTTTTAGAGCATCTCTCTAATGTAATGCCAAAATTAAATGCCAATATCAAAATTTAACGTCTGAGTAAATAATTCTAAAAAAAAAAAAAAAACTTTTAATGTTACATTTGATATTTGGTTGGGCATTGATTAATGTGTTGACCTTTCTACTTAATTTTTTTTCAACTAATACTTGACCATAGAACAATGTATCATATAGACTAGTTTTGCACTTATTTCATGTCAAATAAAACATTGGTTTTAATATTTGCATTGGAAATGGTCTTTATTTTTTTTAAAAAAGTTTATAAGAAACACATTAATTATTTCCATACCAAATGTTCCCGAACCACCCTCGTAGAAGGTGGCATGGGCAGGAATCCAAGGGCCAGGACGGAAATTTGGGCGGTGGTGCTTGCGGGGAGGTGGAAAACGTCCACGTCCTCTCCCTACATGGCGATGAGGAGTCCGCCATGCACGGACGTGATCAGGCAGCGCCGCAACGGTGACAAGGACAAGAAGCAATAGCCCCAAGAGAGCTCGCAAAGGCAATGCCATGGCTTTGGGCATGGAATGAGCTTTTTTAGACACGCCTTTGGCTGTTTTGTCTCTCTTTATAAGACGCAATTACAGCTTGTGATTTCATATTATATACGTTTTCACCTTGTGTTATTATTGGGGCCTAAGGACATATGTGGAGCACTAGATTTTAGGTTTGCTTTTTATGGCTATTTATGTTATGTTGAATTTTCAAGGGACGTAATTCACTTGGGTTGTTACGAGGGGGTGAGTTTTCCTCTCTCTGCCTCTCTTTTATTACGGCTGTTATAAATTGATTAAAAAATATATATATTTATATATATTATACAAAAACAAAAACAAAAAAATTAAAAACACTTTGTTGGGGTTGTTACAGTTACTTTCTTAAACAAAAAAACAAAAAACAAAAAAAAAAAGTGGAGACTGAGAGTGATGTTATTAAGGTCTGTTTAGTTCGTTGATTCGAGTTTTTAATTCAAGTTGAGATGTGACTTTATGTGAGAGTTTTTAATTCAAGTTGTTCTTGTACAACGAAATTCAGAAGAAGTTTGAAGTTGAGTTAAAATTTTATTTAAATTCATGTTCTTTTATAAAATTTGAGTTTGAACTCGAGTTTAAACTCGAGTTTGAGACTAAACTCGAGTTCAAGTTTCCCTTTCAACTCGAGTTCATAAACTCAAACTCAAGTTAATAAACAATATTTTTTCTATTCTTAAAAATGTCATAACTTTTTCGTTTTAATTCTAATTGAGATGATTTTTTTTCTATGCATTCACAATGAAAAGACGAATAAAACCCCACCCATATATCCTATTAAAATTTTTCATCACCATTGAGTTTTTATTAAAATGCTATCTAAATAGAAATTTAAGTTTTGACCCACCTAAACACAAACTCAAAAAGATTCTCAATTCAAATCATAATTCAAATGTGCACATCCAAACACAAACTCAAGTTACAACTTCAACTCAAGTTATAACTCAAATTCAACTTACGATCATCACTCAAGTCACTCTTAACTCAAAAATGCAAAAGAACAACCTCCCAATCTCTTGGAGTTCAATGATTTATGGATATGGATTACATGGAAGGGGAAATGAAGCAATTTCAATGTATGATAAGATGGTTCTTGAACGAATAAGACCAGACGCGATAACTCTCGTCCGGCTCCTTTCTGCTTGTGGCAGGTCAGGTTTGGTTGGTGAAGGCCTTAATATCCATACCTCAGTAATTAATAAATATGGAATCAAAACCTACAGTCGAGATTTGTGCTTGTGTTGTTGATATGCTCGGGAGGTCGGGGCAACTTGATCAGGCACTGAATTTTATCAAAAAACATGCCTGTAAATCCTGGACCAAAGTGTTTGTGGGGCTCTTGTCACTGCTTCTGTTGTACATGGGAATTCTAAGATGCAAGATCTAGTTTATAGATGCCTTATCGAACTAGAACCTGAAAATCCGCAAATTTCATTTCGCTGTCGAATGTGTATGCTTCTTCCAAAGCAATGGGATGTTGTGGCTGAAGTAAGAACAACGATGAAAGAAAGAGGCTTGAGGAACGAACCAGGGTGCAGTTGGATTAGCATCAACAGCACCAATCATTGTTTCTATGTTTGCTGATAAAGCTCACCCTTCTTCACACTCAATCTATGACATGCTTGAAAACCTCATGTTTGTAATGAAGGAAGCGAAATACTCTCCTGATATTGAAAGTCCAACATGAATTGGGGATTTTTTTTTTTTTTAAATTTTATAAAATGAGAGATCACACAAATAACAGAGGTTTCCATTTGAAAAGATAAATATTTGATGGATGAGAAATACAAATAGTATAAGAAACACTGATAGTACAAAGTGTAACAACCATATTATTTTGCTCTAAAATAAAAAACACCATGTTATTTTGTAGAACTCTTTGTTTACTCTTAACAAATAACCCTTGGAAGTCTATTAACTTTAATAAACAATGATTTCATTCTACCAAAAAAAAAAGGATAAAAAATAATGAGAAAAGTTCTGCCTAGTAGCGGTGTATTAGTTGCTTGTATGCATCCTTATGCTTCAAGTAGTAGTCAATCTCTGCCTACAAAAGGGAATCAAGCAAAGTAATAATTTAAGCTGAGAATGATGTGAAAGATTTATGTTTTTTATTTTCATATTTTTAATTATTTCTGGTAAACACAAAATGAGTGTGAAATTCTTTGGGCTATGATTTTCTTTAACATGGAATTACTTATCCAATAAGCCACAAACAGAAATCATGTGAGGACAAACCTTGCGGATCCCTTTGATGGCAACCAATAACTTTTTGCCGATTAGCTCTGTTATGACAGCGTCTTCCTTGAGAGCTCCTAAAGATTCTGAAAGTGATCTTGGCAACCTTTGAAGTTCTGCATCGAGACTAGAAGGATTTGCATCTGGTTTATATATATATATATAAGAAGAGCATATCAGAAACTCAGAGGACAGCAAACTACATCTATCACACGTTTGTGCACCTTATATAAGTGGCAAAAATTGAAAGGTCAAGGAAAACGTGGAGAAACCACTTTCACCATTTTATTGTCACAAATATTTGGCCTCCAAATATTTTAGTAGTATGTATAGTAATGCGGATGTAATAACTCATTACAAATACAGAAAAAAGAGAAATGAACATATGGGCAAGTTACCATACTTCACAATATGTAAAAGATTAGGGAAATTTTCAGGATTGCCATAAAAAAGATAACACTATTTTATTTATGCAATTAATTTTAAAATTTATCACTTGTGCCGCTAATATTCTGGTAGGATATCTTTCATATTCTATCAGAATATTTTTTTTTCTGGCAGCGTATTTTTTGTATTCTACCAGAATATTTTTTTAATGGCATAAAAATAGGATGATTAAAAACAATGGTTATTCTTATAATTTTCTCAAAAGATTAAGTTGTCCTACCAACAGGTTCTGGAAGAGTAAGATGTCTCCTAAGCCCATCAATTCCAGCAGCAAGTACTGCAGCCAAGCCCAAGTGTGGATTTGCACATCCATCAAATGATTTAATCTCAAAGTTGCTGACATAACCATCTGATATTCCAGGTGGACATGCAGTTCTCAATGGGGCTTCTCTGTTCTCTTTTCCCCAGCATTGGTATGCTCCACTCCATGTATTCGGTTGGATGCGATCGTAGCTACAGACCAAGAATGGTTGAATATAAGAAAAGTGAACAAATTCATGAAAATGAAAAGAAAGAGAACACGTGTACTAGTTAGGATGAACACAGGAAGTGAAAGAAAGCTTGAACCTGTTTGGAAGTGGTGCTGTAAATGCCAAAATCGCGGGAAGATGATGCAAAACACCAGCCATGAATTCCTCCCCAACTTTGGACATTCCATGCCGAGAGGATCCCATGAAAACATTTTTTCCGTCCTGCCACAAACTGAGATGAACATGGGAACCGGAACCAATATCTTCCAATGAATACCTGGACAAAAATACAAGAAACACTTGAGAACAAAATTCACAGATCTAATATTTAGGAAAAAATATAACCACACCCATGTTTCCAGGCAATCTGTAAACCTCTCAAGCTGCTTTATATTTCTAGTTGTTACCTCAATCAAGACTCAAGAAAAGGAAAAAAATAATCCACCATCTTGAAGACAACGAAGTCAGCACGTACTTGGGCATGAAAGTAGCCAATAACCCATGTTTCCTTGCAATGGCCCTTATAACTTCGCGAGTGAAAATCAGGTTATCAGCCGCATGAGTGCAAGTTGCGTGCCCCAGCGCCAACTCAAATTGACCTTTACCAGCTTCTGCATGTAACTACAAAATGAAAAATACCAAATTAAAAAAAATAATGGTAAACAAAAAAAATGAATGTACTGGAATTACGGAAAGGGGGAAAAAAGTGCCCCGGTTCTTGGTATTTTACTTTTCTTTTTTTTTTCCCCTTCAGTTTTTCTGCTGTGCTAAGGGTAACTAACACTAATCTACCTAAGTCTTATTGGGCAACCATCAACAGAAACAGAGTTTTCTCATGCACCTGTTCCACAGGAATATTCAAGGAATGCATGGTAGAAACAACTTCTTGGAATATAGGAGAAGCAGCGTCATATGCAGATGTAGAGCTGTAGGGAGTTGAGTCAAAAGGCATCCATTCTTCTTTCCCTTCTCTACAATAGCTCGTCAATCAAAACATTGCAAAAGTTACCAAAATTCTTGGGGATCATTGAAGTCACAAAAAGTCTTAAAGACCATGTGATCCCTTACCTCAGTACGCTTTTCAACAGGAAAAACTCATTCTCAAATCCAGCATTCATTACCTGGAAGAATTCCATTAAAAATTTTAAATAACAACTCAACTTACTTTACACTCAAGAAATTAAACTGCTAAAGGGAATACCAAGTCAAATTCTTCTTTTAGAAGTTTTGAAACCCTTCTTAAGGCCTCTCTTGGGCAATATTCCCAAGGTTCACCAGGTCTAAGATGCATGTCAGCCAGAACCATGTCCTCTCGAGTTTGCCTGTTTAGGAAGAAACGGATCATTAGAAAAGAATAATCATTGCCACTTGTGTCAGAAGATACCAGACAAGAAGCATTGAATTGACCAAAATTGTGAAGGTAGCTACTACCATGGAATTCTCCTTCTGGTTAATAAATCAGGCATCAATCTGATCTCCCCAGTTCCAGTCAGATTTGTTTCATCTGCCGGACCATCAGTGAATGAAGTCATTCCCATTGTAGCGAATGTCAAACCAACACCATTTTTTTCAACAACATCCTGAAAGCGTGCTGCTGGAACAACCTGAAGACAAAAATGGACAAGAGTTCTTATAATATGATATCTTGTTTCTTGGCACAATTACTTGTGAAAGTCTTGAAAATATTTTTCCTCACTCCACATAATCTATAGCAAATTTAGAGACTTAATGATCCTCCCCACTCAACATTTCTCCAATGACCTAAATAGTTCTTGGCAAAAACAGAGTATGTAACTAGAATTGTCTAAGAGAAAATTGAGAATGAAAGAAAAGAAGTTCTTCTAATACTTGATTAAACAGAAACAAAAAATGGGAAAAACTCACACGACATCGGTGTTGTCCTGAAGCATCAACCCACAGAACACGAACGAGCGAGACATCACTTTGGGCAGTAATCTTAATCTTAGCAGGAATGGGAGATATGCTATTTGTTGAACCAAAAGACTTCACTGGTAACTTAATTTTGTAAAAGCGGACTGCATTTTCCGAAAAGATGTCTTTGGCAGCTTCAACAGCTTCATGAAGAGTGAGATCTCCATCAACACAAGCATCACGCAGGACTGAAAAGATGACTTCACGTGCTTTTTTGGCACCTGAAAACATGAAAGGATGGCTTGAAGTGATAATCAACTGAACAATGTTATACAATAACTTGCTCAAGCAATATCGAATTTGACAAACCTAAGTAGAAAGTTTCAGGAAACGCATAGCCATCAGTGCTGAACATCACCTGCAATTTATTTATGTTTAACATGGGATGCCATCATTTCAAACTAAACAAATTGAAGAAAATGCAAAGAAGAAAGAATTGTTCATATTTCCACATTCAAGATCATCTAGGAGACTGACAAAAAGAGAACAGCATAAATCTGCATATAGCTCAAAGAGAATGCAGATACAAGATTTATGAAGATTGATTAATCTTTTGCTTCATTGTAGAATCTTGATCAATTATGTGGAATTTACTCAAGTAGAGAATTTGCATGTTATCATGTTTCTGAGGATTTGTTTACTTGTTCCATATAGCTATTACTTACAAAATTTAGAATTCTAGTGTACAGTTTCTTCTTTGGAATTTAGCTTTTATCTTGCTTCGATGGCCTTAGATCGCATATCTTCATACCTTCTTCGTTGGAGCAAGTTCCAAGAGTTCTTTGACTGAGGAAATCATCCCATGGACGCTGAGCTTAGGAACAGCCAAGCCAATGTCCAGATATACCTGCAAGTGAAATTAGCATTCATTTCTCAATGAAACTTTCATGTTAGCATCCTAAATTCAACCTAATATGTGAATCGAAAGGAAGAGAGTTTACCTGGGAATAAACAGAAGCTAAATAAGATGCTTCCCTAGAAAACGGGTACGATGCATGCAAAAGAACTATACGGCATTCCAAAAATCTCTTGTCCTCAAGGACAGTCCGGAGATGAAGGGGATTGGATAGCCTCATATCCAGATCCTTGTCTCCGAAACTATTATGGGTGAATTGAACCAATTATCAATAGATAGACAAAGTACAGTGAAAGCATTTGGAAATGAACTGAAATTAAGTGGACTAAACTTCATTAGCATGTATTAGAAAAATCTTTATCAATCATACGAAGATAAGAAGTACTCAGCTATCCAACTAGGACTAGTTTTCATTTCTATTCTGATAGTTTGTAAATAGAGTATCAGCAAAACCAGTTAAAATACCCTGTGTGTATCTGCATTGGCAAGTCAAACTGTTGAGCGACCTCCAAACTACGTGTGAAGATATAGTCGATAAAATTTTTATTTGTTATGCGGACGGGTTTGGCAGCTGACCAAAGTAAAGAATAGTGAGCATAGAAAAATGGTATCAATGAAAAGCGCCAATCCACTTAAATATACTCACCTTGTAAGACCTCGGCAAGACCTTCCTCAGCCTCTCTTCTCGAAACGTTTGTATTGATTTCTAGACCACTGCGGTATGCAGCTATGCTTTTCAAACCAAAAATCTCTCCAACAACTGTAATAAAGTTCTTAAGGAATATAACAAGGCAGAGTAAATTTTTTATTTTGTTTTGTTTTATTATTTTCTTATTAAAGACAAGGTGAGGCAAATAAATCGAGGGCCAATGAAAGGATATGACTTCAACTTTCCAATAAATACCGCAGTAAATGTATCCAAAGTCCAAGAAGACCGTCCAGGAAATTCCTAACGAATCATACAAAAGAAAAAAGTATGCAATTCAATTGTCGACGAACAATTAGAGTCAAAATGACTGAAATACCACGTAAATGCATTATCTGACATTGAAATTATCTTACTTTATCTAGAATTGTTTCAGCCAAACGTTCAATTCTCAATATTCTGCCAACAAAAGGTGCAAAGGCTTTATGCCACTCTATGTCATGCATTTTGTCCAAGGTCAGTCCATCATCAATGAGAATGGCAGAGATTTTCGTGGCTTTGAAGCATGTTAAGCTGATTAACTGTAATCCATGGACTCTGCGAAATTCTTCAACCCCACTTAAGGATTTCTCACATCCATAGAGTTCAGATATGTCCTTCAAATTTCTCTGAGATATGCACAGTAACCGTGTTATTAATACAAGTCACGGTATCTTCTTATGCTAATTCAAAGTAGTTGTGAAAAGCAATGCCCATACAGACATTTTGTACAAGAAATGAGGACGTTCTTAAGAGATTGGTTAAGAGAATGAATAACTAATGTCTCCCTCCATTTGTTTTCCTTCGTCCAGCTTAGAATGTCCAATGCATATGATTCCAATCTTTTCTATTTTTATTATAAAAAAAAAAAAAAAAAAAAGCAATGCCCCTTGAATAGTCAAAGGACTCGAGCTTTACAGCCAATACTTTTTTCTGAAGAACTTTATCATGAACTTTATAAAAGCAAATGGATCAAAATTATGTCGTTTTCCATAGTAGATTTGTTTCCGTACCAACTTATTTCGTGAAACTTTTTTTTATCCTTTTCTAAATGGGCTCTGTTTCAATTTCACAATGACATAAAAATGGATCAACCAAGGGAGACGGAAAAAATGAAAAAAAAAATTCAGCATTTACTGGGGAAAAAAAAGCACCAAATTTGGTTTGTCCAGAAATCAATCCTTGTTCAAAGCCATTCCATTATTAGAAAGCGAAAACGTCTCTTATTCGTAGACATTACATTTACAGCGTATCTTTTTCGGGCCATTTCTAAAAGAAAATCCGATTATTTTTCATCTCAATTTCACACCACAAACACAAAAACGAAAAAAAAATAAACATTCTGAAGCCAGAAACAAACGAAGAAGTACAACACAACAAGTTGACTTTCTATATTTGTGTGTATATATATATATATAGAGAGAGAGAGAGAGAGAGAGAGAGAGAGAGAGAGATTTGGAACCTTGAAGGAGAGAGAATGGGGAGCGAGAGACAAGGCATCGCCGTGGGCTTCCGAGAAGCCGTTGATGAAAGGGAAGGTTGAGTTCGCAGCGACGATATTGTGGGCGTGAGCGTCTACTAGCTCTGCCTCCTCGATCGTCTCTCTCAGTTCCGAGAAATCCATTTTATCTTCTTCTTCTTCTTCTTCTCTCTCTCTCTCTCTCTCTCTCTCACTTCCGCTCTGTTGAGAGAAAATTTTGAGGAGAGAGAAAGCTCTATCCTTGAATTTCGAGAAAAATGGCGGTCTCTGAGCTCAGCTGAGCGTGTGACTTTCTTCTTTATTCTCTTATTTTCTGTGTTTTTTTTTTAATTCAAGTGTTTGGACTGCAAATACTTTTTGTGGTCTTGAATTTTGGCTATTTGCGAATTACGACACGTCGTCTGATGTGGATTCATCAGGAAAATAAACAATTTTAAAATTCAGAAAATCACGTAAATACAACTGGCGTATCTGTATTAATGTTAATTCTCAGTAATTGTCTTTCGATGCGGGCGGCAACTAAACTGGGTGAAGATTTGCGCACTTGCGCTGACTTTCATGCCCAATCATCACCGTTTATCATTGGAATAAGAATTTTTGTTATAATTCACGTCATAATTCATAACTCATTATAATATAAAAAATACACATAAATTAAAAATAATTCTGACTACTCATAAATAAAACATCCACTTAAACGATTTGTCGTAAGGCCGGCGAGAAGTGTTTTTGCCCAATAGGAACACGACAAGTGAGATTCTCCTCTTTCTCTTCCTCAAGGTTTGTGTCTTCTCATTTCAACTTATCTCTTTCAATTTCTTCTTTCTTTATATTTGAAAAATCCTTCTTTTTTTTTTTCCTTCCGGGAAAATTGATTTTGAGTGACGAAGAAAAGAAAGTTTGAAAACAAAAACGGCGATAAAGAAATTTGAAGAATCGGTCGGTGTTCTATTCGGTTCGAACTTCGAATAAACGGATCTGCGATTTAATTTTTATGTTGTGATTCGCTTGAAATTTATTGCGTATTGCACTAGTTTATGGATCTATTTTGGCCTGTGATCTTGTAGTTCTGGTCTGTTTGTCTTTTTTTTTTAATGGAATTTCTAGAAATGCAATTCGAACTCAATGAAGATTGTGAATAGAGAATGAATCCGTTCAAGTGCTTGTTTGTATATTCTTGATAATAAATAATGATTCAAGTTGAACCGTAGGATATTATAGTGGCTGTGGCTTTGATCGTTTTTATTTCAGATTTGGCAAAAGAGTGTAGATATCAAAACAAAACCAACTCATATCGGTCAATTTTTTCTTGTTCTTTTTTTTTTTTTTTTCCTGTATACTAGGAAGCATGATTCCTAGTTCCTTTTGCAGGTTGCTTTTTTTCTTACCTGTTTTCCCTCTATTTATAGCGTAAGTGTTTGGTCTTTCCTGTTACATCAAAAGACCCGTGGGTGCGTTTGGAATTAGTTTCAAAACGTTTTTATTTTTTGTATGAAAATGAAAATAAAAACGTTTTTATTTTCATTTTGGAATCATTTCTGAAAATGCGTTTGGCAGTTTTATTCTGAGATTATTTTTAATTTTAAAAAAACTAAAATTGCGTTTGGTAGTTTAATTTTTAAAAACATGTGTAATAATATTTAAACTAATAATATATTAAATAAATATATTAAATAAACAATCAACGGACGAGTTGGGGGGGGAGGGCATTGTCGGAGAAGACTATGGGGGAGGCAGAGGAATTTGGTTGATTTTTTTATTGAGTTTTTAAGAAAATGAAAATGGAAAACTGAAAACGATTTTCAATCGTTTTCAGTTTTATTGAGTTTTTAAGAATAAAGTAAAAAACGTTTTCATTTTCTGTTTTTCAAGAAATGCTGCCAAACGGCTTCCTCAGAGCATTTTCAGTTTTTGGTTCTTGGAAAACGTGAAAAAGGGAAACGGAATCAAACAGGCCCATAGTTTTGTATCTACGTTGTTTGGTCTTTCTCGTTGTATGGAAAGACCCATAGTTTTGCATCTACGTTGTTTGGTCTTTCCCGTTGTATGGAAAGACCCATAGTTTTTCATATACGTTAGAGATGCAAGAACGGCCCGGCCCGGCCCATTCTCTTTACGTCCACACAGGCCACGGGCCGGGCTGGGCCAGCCTAGCCCATAAATTTTGTGAACCAGACTAGGCCGGCCCATATAAGAATGACTTCGGGCCAGTCCACACCACGGGCCAATTTCATGAGTTTAGATGGGTCAACCCATCTAATCATATAATTTTTATTTTTATTTTTTATTTTTTATTTTTTAAACAAGTTAACAAATTTATATGTTTGAATAGTCAATAGAAATATGAAAAAGAATATTTTATTTACGATTATCTCATTAAATAAAAATCTTTCTAAGGAAAATCCAGTGGGACAAAACCTTAGTAAGAAAAAAAGAGTACAATCAAGATAATTATACATAAGATGTTGACAAAATTACTAAAAAAAAGAAGAAAAAAAAAACATGAAGATATTATGGGCCAAGATGGGATGGGTTGGGCCGGCCCATCGTGGGCCTAGACGGGCTGGCCCAGCCCGGCCTGGCCCATGATTTTTTATGGGCCTTGAACAGTGACAGGCCGTGCCAGCCTAACCCAGCCCGTTACTGTGTCAAGATAGGCCTAAGTCGGTCTACGTTGCCTGGCCCATTATTGCATCTCTAATCTACGTTGTTTGGTCTTTCCCGTTGTATGAAAAGACCTATAGTTTTGCATCTACGTTGTTTGGTCTTTCCTGTTGTATGAAAGATCCATAGTTTTGCATCTACGTTGTTTTGTTGTGGAATATTTTGAAGTAGAATACAATATTGTTCATAGTGAGTTAAATCTCTCTTTTCTTAATATTACTATAGTGGTGGAGGTAATTTGAAGATTGGCCACGAATGTATTTCTATGTTTGTTATCTGGACCTAAAGCTACGGAGACATTTAGTACAAAATGATTGATGATTGGTTAATTGTTGTTTATTTGGGGGACTATATTGGTCATGTTGAAGGGTTGAGAAAGCTGAACAAGAAAATAATTTGGCTGAGAAATTGTTGTTTATGGATTTTGGAATTGTGTTTTGTTTTTTGTAATGTGATATTTCTCATGTTGTGTATTTTTTATGTAAATTCCGTAATTTGTTCTTAATGTAATTTGTCAGATTATTAATCATAGTCTAATAGACTATGGCCGGCGCTGACGATCGAAGACCTGTCGACCATGTAACTTGATAGATTATGGGTCATATTCTGACAGGCTATAGGTCATAGTCTGATATAGACTCACAAATTATGGGTCATAGCTTGGAAAACTATGGGTCATAGCCTAACAGACTATGGCCGGCCACCGGAGACCCCGACGAATGGCTATCGGAAAAGCCGTCGAAAATGTTGTCGGACGGCCGCCTGAAAAGCTGATGGACAGCCCCCGAAAAAGCAGCTAGATGGCTACCGGAAAAGCCGTTGGACGGCCCCAAGAAAAGCCGTCGAACGGTTGCCAGAAATGTTGTCGGACGACCGTCGGAAAAGCCACCAGACGGACGCCAGGAAGCCACCAAACGAATGCTGGAGCCGCCAGTCGAAAGCATCCGGCATTTTGTAAATTAAAAATTTACTTTAAGGGTATTTTGGTAATCTACACATTCGACCTTTGATTAATATTTGACTAGATCTATTCTAAAATGGTAGAAATAAAATGAGTAATCTTTAAGGTTTTATAATAATTTGTTATATCATTTTGAGAGGTAGTTATAAAAATCTCTTTATCTTCAGATAATTACACAAACTGTCAATTTTAAGAGTAGATGTGCAAGTTGGCCCAGCCCAATCCTAAGCCCTTAGGGTTGGTCCGGTCTGGGGTAAAATTGTAAAGGATAATCTTGATAAATACCTTTTAAAAGTGTATGGGTTAGGATTTTTACCCTTTACTCTTAATTCATAACCTCTTTATTCAAGTAATTACACTAATAAAATGGTATTTATCAAGAGTAAGGGGTAAATGTCTAGTCTCATGTACTCTCAATGATAAATTCTCTATTTTTTTCTTTTATTTTAGAGTATTTCAAAAAAAAATTCTTTAAAAATATAATGTTTTAGGCCGGGTAGGCCCCGCCTGACCATAAGCCCAAAAAATTTAGAGTCGGGTTCACCCGAACTCAAGCCAACAAAGTTTCAAACCAGCCTATTTAATATGTCTCAAACTTGCAGTTCTGTTTAAAAGGCTTAAATATAAAAATATATAATTATCTAAATGTTATAAAAATTTTAAAATTTAGTGCCTGTGATGCTGATTAGACCCTTATACACTATATTACATAAAATTTAGGAGTGTTATGATACTTTTTTCTTTTAAAATAATTACACATAATGATAAATTTTAAACACCATGTTTAGGATATGTTTTTAATTTAACAATATTGTCAACCTGTATATTTTATGATCATTAAGATAATACATATTATTTTTTCATTTGAGTAGTTATGAACTTATATAATTAATAATAAGAGTGATTAATTGTTTTATAGACTAGTGTGCAAATATTATAGCTTTTGGACCTTTTTTTATTGGCTGCATAATACACACATATGTAATTAACACCTTTTTTTTTTCTCACTCAAGAAAAAAGCGTTAAGATACTTTTGGTACGTAGATTTTTTTAATTTAGAAAATTGATTCTTACATTGTTGGTTTTATTTTTTATTTTTTTACCATTTTGATCGTTTTATTAAAATTTGCGAAGGATTTTTAAAGTTTTACAGAGAAAATCGCATCCTAATTACATAGTAAAAGAAATTTTTTTTAAAAAGTTGTATTTAATGTAAACATTCTATTTATATCATTTAAGAACTTCTAAAAACTAGAAAATTTGATGTATAAGGAGTTCAATTGCTATGCGATTGAGACATTGATTATTTCTGGAAATTTTCAAAAGTTATTTACTAATTCAATGTGAGTGGCTAAAACTATCAAGAACCCAAAGTTAACAGAGTAATTTATCAAAATTAAAAATATTTATCAAAACAAAATTAAAGAAAGCGTTACAAATCGTCGTAGAGCCACTTTGCCCTTTGCGATAGCGGCCGCTCCATATAGAGAGAGAAATAGTGAGATCCACATACTATTAATAAAAAAGCATTACAAATCTTCGTTTGGTTCGTGTATTCATAATCATGATTCAGAATCATTCTCGTTTTACGCGTATTTTTTATGAGAGAAAAACACTGTAGAGAATCATGATTCAGAATCAGAGATTAATACAGGAAACAAACGGGCTCAGATTCCGTTAGGTTTATGAGTTTAAATGATCTATATTTTAATTTTGTTATATCATTTTTTCTCAAAAAATTTTAAAATTTTAAAATTTAAAAAGTTTCTCTTAATGGATTATCTCACAAAATTTAAATGTTTATTATATATTATATATGGTATTATATAATAGAGAAAATTATTAAACTTACCCTTAAAAGTATATATAAGTCATAATTTGTGTCCCTTACTATTAATTAATACATTTTTTGTTAATATAGTTATTTAACTAAAAAAATATTAATTAAGAATAAGTTGGTAGAAATTAAGACCCATACGCTTTTAAAGAATAAATATCAAGATTTTTCTATGTAAAATCAAAATTACTGATTTAAACTCATGTACCAAATCGTCCTTAAAAATCTCCTTTAACAAATCATTAAAGGAATACTTGCAATTGATATGACTCGTATTTGGTAATCTTAGAGGATCACTCCAACAAATGTTACCATCGATTATTCTCCCATGGATAAGCTCGAACATATTAGGAAGATTCCAACTTTTCTCCCCCTTGTAAGTTTGGATTTGGATTTGGATTTGGACACATACAAATAAGATATACACATTCGCCGTATCTACAAGGAAAATACGAAAAATAAATGCAGTAGAATTTTGGGATGCAATATTTGCTATATATAACACGCCCATATGTACCATGCAATATTGCATTTCTGATTTCTATACCAAACATATAGTATTATTGGTAGATCTTCATATCACTAACAATAAAGATGAAAGCCATAGCAGCAGTCTTCAGCCTTGCATTGCCCATCTTCTTCTTCTTCTCCGGTACTACAGAAACTATAATCAAGTTTTCATTTTTACTCATTTATTTGTTTATTCTCATTGAAAATATTATATACATATATATATATATATATATATTATGTCATCCCGACTCTTATTTCTTTTAATTATTTAGAAATCTTAGAATTCACTGATAAAATAGATCCAATCGAACTGTAGAGAGCAGATTGGATAGAATATTAAGATTTTGTAAAAATCACAAGCATTGATGCCCGTGCGTATGTGTGTGTATATATATATATATATGTATTTATAATGTATTGTTGGGAAAGAACATACCTCTACACTCACGCAACAAAAAAATAAATTTAAACAAAAATAACATAAAAATAGAGAAGATAAATATTTAAATAGTATAGAAAAATGAGAAAAATTCATCAATAGTTTTAAAAATTACACTCAAAAAATTCTTTTCACTTTTTCTCTCTACCCAAAACTCCTTACACATTTTTTCTATCTCTCTCCTCACTTGCTTTGGCTTTTAAAAGGAAACACTCTTTTCTTTATACTTTTTTCTGAACACATATAAAATATTACACAAAACACTTATTTATAAAGTCCTAATAAATTATAAAATAACTCTTGTTTAAAAATAAAAAAAATAATAATTTATTCAAAAATACAAAATAATAACTTTCTCAAGATTAATTGGAGACACTTTCTTAACGTGTATATTGTGCAATATTATCAATATAACCATGCTTAAGTTTTAATACATTATCATTTGTCGCTACTATTTATTTCAGGGGTCCAATCAGCCACATTCACAATAAAAAACAACTGCGCTTACACAATATGGCCAGGAACCCTAACCGGCGGTGGCAAGCCTCAACTGCCTTCCACCGGATTCGAGCTCGGCCCCGGCGCCTCTCAAACCCTAGACGTCCCCGACGGTTGGTCTGGTCGTTTCTTTGCCCGGACCGGGTGCTCAGCCTCCAGCGGAAAATTCTCGTGCGACACAGCCGACTGTGGCTCCGGCCAGATGGCATGCTCCGGCGCCGGAGCAATCCCGCCGGCGACTTTAGTCGAGCTCACTCTCGCCGAAAACGGCGGCCAAGATTTCTACGACGTCAGCCTCGTCGACGGCTTCAACTTGCCCGTTGCGTTGGCGCTACAAGGCGGCTCCAGCGGGTGCCAGAGCACGAGCTGCCCTGCGAACGTCAACGCTGTCTGCCCGCCAGAGCTGGCCATGAAACGACCCGACGGGGCCATAATCGCCTGCAAGAGCGCGGGTCTAGCGCTTAACCAGCCGCAGTACTGCTGCACCGGCGATTTCGGTACGCCGGACAAGTGCCCGCCGACGGACTATTCTAGAATCTTCAAGAACCAATGCCCGCAGGCTTATAGCTATGCTTATGATGATAAATCTAGCACTTTTACATGCTCGGGTGGTGCTAATTACGCTATCACTTTCTGTCCGTGAAATTTGTATTTGGTAGTTCTAGTCCCATTAAATTTTCCCTTTTGATTACTCCACTTTTTATTATTATTATTATTTATGTTAAAGTGCTCCAAGATCCGTAGTTTAATAAAGGAGCCATCTCCACTAACATGATAGGAGACAAGCTGTAATAACCAAGAAGTGTAATCAATTTCAAGGACATATATTGAATGCACTTTTATATTAATTGTTTTAGTTAAAAATGTTGTCAGCTTTTATGTGTAATAAATCTAGAGAAATGCATAAGAGCTTGTGATGAATGATTTTGTTTTGTGTAAGAAAATGAAATGATCAGAAGTTCTTTTTTTTTTATGGAAAAAATGATCAGAAGTTTTTATGAATGGTGTTTAGGAATTCCGAAATTCTGTTTAGTTTTTTTTTTTTTTTTTTTTTTTTTTTTTTTTAATCCGAAATTGTGTTTAGTTTTTTTTAGATTAGTTTTGAGTATACAAAAAATGAAACTCGCGTATTTGTTAACGATCATAATAATATTTCTAGAATTTCCCCAAACAATTAGAGGAGGAAAATGTTTAGGCCTTTGCACTGATCTCTACGACCTTAAATAATTTATAGTTTAAAAAATTTAGTTTGAATTAATCCATCAAACATCTTCACTCATCAGTTAAATAATGCTAAGGTTTGCACAAAAATACAAATATTGTATTGCTCAATATTATTAAAAACATGAGCAGATTAATATAATAGTATTTATGAATGATCATGTATAGGTCTAGCCTACAGGACCTTCCCTGTGGTGGCTCATCTAATGAGTAAATAGAATTCCACTTATAATTTACATATTCAGAAGAAAATTCTCTGGCCTTTAGGAAGGCCGTCCGTCTATCACGGGGCGCAGACATGTCCGAAGTCTAACCACGTTACTCACGGTGGACACGTGGCCTCGTATGCTTATCAATATATATATATATATATATATATATTTCTGTCTTACCATGTCATTTGTCCTATCCAATTGACTTGGTCATTAAAAACTCTTCATCTTAATTTCTTGGAATTTTTTTTAACTTGTGGAAATTAATAGAGACTATTGATCTAGAAGCTTATTAAATATTTGTTGAAAGTTCCACATGAAACTCAATAGGGACTATTGATCTAGAGGCTTATAAATATTTGTTAAAAGTTCCACATATATGATACCATCAAATGGTCTCGTTAGTTTCACGGGTTCAAATTGTGTGGTTTTAAATTTTTAAGTTTGAACTTATATGTAAATTTTCTATAGTACAGGAAATAAAACATCAAATCGGAAAATAAAAATTTGAACTCGTGTTTGGTTAGCGTTAGAATTGTTAGTAAACTAGAAATAGAACCATGGTTGTAAACCATAAATAATGTAGCAAATAGGTTCAAATCCATGAGAACTTAAGGCTGGGGGGAAGAGGGAGGGGAGTTAAGGCCGTGTTGTTGGTTTGCCGTTTGAACAGGTGATGATTTAGTTTAAATTGTAGATTTTGAATTGTGTTGATTTAAACTGCGATTCGAATCGGTGCTTAGATATACAAATAAATTGTAATTTGAATTTAGAATAAAATCTGAATTGTGTTTAGATAGAGTGTTGAAAAATGTTATTAGAGTTTTACAACAAATCTTACAAAACCTCATTGTACATGACATATTCAAATATATAATATGGAGGTGGATTTGTTCTTCTGTGCATTATGAACACACACACAAAAAAAAATCTCAATTGGAGTTAAAATGAAAAAAGTATGACATTTTAAAGCTTGATATTGAAGAGAGTGAAAAATAAAACAAAAAATCTTGTATTTAAACTGTTCATAATCCAGATTGTTGAATAGTAAAATCAACAATAATAATTGTGGTTCCCTCTTTATTTGTAAAACAAACACTAATTTGAACCTTAGTACTGTACCAAACATGGAGTAAGTCCTCCAAAACCTAAAATTTTTGGGTTTCCAAGCATTCTCGATCAAAATCCTAGTAAAACTAATCTCGTTCATTTCGCTTATTCAAGTTGAGAATTTGAATTGAAAAGTAAATTAATGTGAGAAAAAACATGTATCAAAAACGGCTGAATTTGAATTTTTATAAGAGAAAATACTGAAGTAAAAACTTTAGTTGTAATTTGAACTAACGAAATGAACGGGATCTGAATTCAAATGCACTTGAACCGTTAAAACAAATATGTCATACACAAATGAAAAAAGAAGCTATATGCACGCTGCCAAATTTGTCAAGAAAATTCTACCGTTTGGAAATGAAGGACTAAAAAACCACCACGTAGTAACTTATCCAAAACGAAATCAGATACATTCAATTGAATATTCTAAAATCCGGAATTAATTTGTAGTTTTGCAGAGGGTGAATAAAAAGTCCTTAATTTTATAGATAATTTATGTTTGTAGTAACGTTATCTAAGCACGCAAAGTACTGACCTGACCACATGTACAGATAATAGATAATTTATGTTTGTAGTCTTCAGAATTTTATAAAATATCAAGTTAGAGTGTTAGACCCGCAATTACTAATACGTATTAGTCACGCAAAAGAAAAACACAACCAATTGAGACTGAACCCTATATATATACCACCCCTCGCAACTCCTTCATCAATCAAGTTGTATTGATTTATAATATATTCATCATTTGGTCACCACAAGATTAGCATATTATTTTCAAGTATTAAACATTAACGATCATGAAGATCACCCAAGTGCTGTTCGGCCTCACTCTGGCCTTCCTTCTTGCTGCGGGTAATTTTGATTAATCTTCATTACAATTTATAAGCCTCTTTTTACCACGAGTTGTTGGTGATTATATCCTTGATATAATAAAAACCAAAGACATGGTATTAGTTATAACGTATATCTCAACCACGCTAATCATAATTAAAATATATATCTCTTCTAGCTAGAAAATATTACATGCATATACACACACATATATATATATATATATAATATAAGAATTAAGAAATAATGTGTATCTAGCTCGTGATTAAGGGACATTACATTTCATATATATGTGCGTAGTTAGTTCTTCATCATACTAACTCTTCACCAATATATATGAGCAATTCGTTATTTACCGTAAACATGTAAATATTGTTTCACAGCCAAAAAAAAAAAATAGCAAATTAATATTGTCAGCAATATTCAAACAGTACTTCTAATTTCTAATATGTAAAGTATATGAAATCATGTATAAGCATCTTACATTGTTATGATCATACTTATGATATTAATTTTATCATTACTGTAGAACTTCTTGAGCTTGATTTAATTAGACTTTAATTACCTACAGGAGCAAATGCAGCTAAAGTAACCATCAAAAGCAACTGTCCTAGAACCATCTGGCCGGCAACCCTAACCGGCGACAACAAAGCCCAACTGTCCACCACCGGCTTCAAGCTCAGCAAGGGGCAGAGCCGCTCTGTCGTCCTCCCTGCACCGTGGAGCGGCCGGTTCTGGGCCCGAACCCGGTGCTCGACCGACGCCTCCGGCAAGTTCACCTGCATCACCGGCGACTGCGGCTCCGGCAAGGTCGAGTGCAACGGCAAGAGTGGGGCCCCACCCGCAACTCTCGTCGAGATCACCATCGCGAAGAACAGCGGGCAGGACTTCTACGACGTCAGCAACGTCGACGGGTTCAACGTGCCGGTGTCGGTGGTCCCGCAGGGCGGCACCGGGGATTGTAAGAAATCTTCTTGTCCGACCAACAGCATCAACACCGACTGCCAGGCTAAGTTCCAGGTGAAAGACGGCTCCGAAGTGGTTGGGTGCAAGAGTGCGTGCACGGTGTTCAACACCGATCGGTACTGCTGTAGGAACGCTTACGGCACGGCGAAAACGTGCCCGCCGACGGATTATTCTAGATTCTTCGAGAAGAGGTGCCCGCTGGCTTACAGCTACGCTTATGATGATAAGAACAGCACTTTTACGTGCTTCAGCCGACCGGATTACCTCATCACATTCTGCCCGTGAAGAGGAAACTAATTATTATATATACTAAGTTAAATAAGAGGTTACTATAAGAATAAATGATTGTACGTACTCATGATGTTTTCATGAGTTTGCTTGTTTGACATACATATTTCTGTTGTCTGTCGAGCATATTATATACCTCTAACGAATTTATAGGGAATAATAAATTGATATTGGAATTTCGATTTCCAATTTTCTGAATTATATATTTTTCTTTGATCCGATTGTGGAGATTTTATGTGATTATATGCATGGATGAATTATTTTTCAAAAGTGAAAAGATGCATATTTTTCAAAAGTGAAAAGATGCATATTTTTCAAAAGTGAAAAGATAGTATATTTTTCAAAATATCAGAACTTTTCTTAGACTGTCATTCAAAGTAATTTCACAAAAATGTTCTAGAAACAAATAATAATAACACATAAAATGATAACAATATATCAATATATTATCTTAATAGAAGCCAAGAAACTTGGAATATTTATGGCTCGTTTAGTTCGTTGATTTAAGTTTTTAATTTGAGTTAAAATGTGATTTTATGTGAGTTTTTTACTGTAATAAAACTCAAATTATAAACTCATATCAGTAAAATGAACGAGACCTTAATCTAAAACTAAAAAAAATATAGAATCAATTAGGAATTTCAAACGTGGAAAAAAAAAATGTCATCACTCTTGCATGACTTTTTTCTTTATTTTCTTACCAGTTATTTGGTGGCGATTAATTTTGATTGGATCGATATTGGTTATTGAAACTACTCGGTCAACCTTAACATTGAATGAGTTCTAGAGGAAGCGGGACTTCGATAACCCTATTGTCGGGCGTCATAAATATTGTATGGCCTCTATCTACCACCAGCGATAATGGCATGATGGCAATGATGTATGGCCTATATCTACTTTATTTATATTTTAGTCAAATCTCATGTCCTCATGAGTTCTAACTTTAAAAATGGCAAATGGGAATGGAATGCAATTTGATTTGAGTTTAAAATTTAAATTTTATTATAGTAAAAAATTCTTATATAAAATCACATATCAATTTAAATTAAAAATTCAAATTGACAAATTAAACCGACCTTAAATTTATAGTGGGTATATTAAACTCATGGTAGACAACTAAAATTTGAATTGTGAAAAGGAATTGACTATTATATTGGTGGAGTAAGTTAATTCTATCTTATAGACGTTGAGCGGGGACGTACCAACTATACCATGTTTAATTAACAATATACATATTCAATAATTTCAATAATTTGATAATAGGAAGAAACGTAGCATATATATGAATTAAATTTCTTTAGCAAAATGTATTGCAATACTAGAATAAGACATAATCGTCATTTTATTTTAAACTCATTAGTGTAATAGGTGATTATTGGGGTTTGGAAGGCCTTTTCTTTTTATAACTCAAATTTTTTTGTTACAGTATTTTCTATATAAAAATTTAAAATTTAACTTTTTTACTATATTTTTTTCTCTTGTATAAAAAAATTTGAGCTGTGACTTGAGTAAATAGAACACACCCTCTGTGTCTTGAAATAATTTGTATCAATTGTACTATTTCTATTACTTTATTATTCAATGAAAATCCTATTTTTAAAAAATAAAAAATATGGTTGAGGTGTAACTTAACCATTAGAATTCAAATCACCCCGTTCCATTTTTTTTTTTTTTTAAAGTAGAGGTTTTTCTTCTCTCTGATATTTCTCTGATATTTGCAATATGAAGGTTTAAATTGAAAATTTAAGTTAAATAGTGAATTTATGTAAAAAAAAATGTTATAAAAAACTGAATTTAAATTTTTATAAAAGAAACAACTATAATAAAAAATTTAAATTGGGATTTTGTTTCCGAAATGTTAGATTTGGCCACTATCTGCCCCATTATTAGAACAAAAAAAGCAATAGGTATTATGGTAATCTCCTAACTAACAAGCTTAGCAGAAAGAGAGATAAAACCGAATTTAGAAACTTTTTAGAATTTGTAGCAGCAGTAGTCGGTGTCCAATGGAAAGAAAGAGACGGATTACACGGACAGAGAGAGAGAGAGAGAGAGAAGAAGAAGACTGGCCAAATGGGAAAAAGAAAAACCCAAACTTTCACACTTTCAACGCCTAATCTGATTCGACCATCCACGCAAATACTCCAATTTCGATTCTGATGCTTCCATAGCTTTTCGATTGATCGAGTTTTTCTTCCCAGCTTCCAATGGCGAAGAAGAAAGTAAAGAAGAAGATACAGGAGCGAATCGATAACTTGCCAGGCGGATATTCTCAGCAGCGAAGAAGCTCCCCACCAAAACGCCGCACCGATTTCTCCCTTTCTTCTCCAATTCTTCCGATTCCGGTAAATTCAGATTTCGTTTTCCCTTTGTTGTTCTGAAGGAAGATTTCGTTTTGTTGTGAGAATTTTTGTTTTGGGAACGAGTGATTTGAATTTTGTTCGCCAATTTGTGAACTCTTGAACTTGCTTTTTGAAATTTAGGTCTCATTCGACTGTAATCATGGCGGATTTACGTAAGATATACACATTCACCGTATCTACAAGGAAAATACGAAAAATAAATGCAGTAGAATTTTGGGATGCAATATTTGCTATATATAACACGTCAATATGTACCATGCAATATTACATTCCTGATTTCTATACCAAACATATAGTATTATTGGTAGATCTTCATATCACTAACAATAAAGATGAAAGCCATAGCAGCAGTCTTCAGCCTTGCATTGCCCATCTTCTTCTTCTTCTCCGGTACTACAGAAACTATAATCAAGTTTTCATTTTTACTCATTTATTTGTTTATTCTCATTGAAAATATTATATACATATATATATATTATGTCATCCCGACTCTTATTTCTTTTAATTATTTAGAAATCTTAGAATTCACTGATAAAATAGATCCAATCGAACTGTAGAGAGCGGATTGGATAGAATATTAAGATTTTGTAAAAATCACAAGCATTGATGCCCGTGCTTATGTGTGTGTGTATATATATATATATATTATATATATATATATTTATAATGTATTGTTGGGGAAGAACACACCTCTACACTCACGCAACAAAAAAATAAACTTAAACAAAAATAACATAAAAATAGAGAAGATAAATATTTAAATAGCATAGAAAAATGAGAAAAATTCACCAACAATTTTAAAAATTACACTCAATAAATTCTTTTCACTTTTTCTCTCTACCCAAAACTCCTTACACATTGTTTCTATCTCTCTCCTCACTTGTTTTGGCTCTTAAAAGGAAACACTCTTTTCTTTTTACTTTTTTCTGAGCACATATAAAATATTACACAAAACACTTATTTATAAAGTCCTAATAAATTATAAAATAACCCTTGTTTAAAAATAAAAAAAAACAATAATTTACTCAAAAATACAAAATAATAACTTTCTCAAGATTAATTGGAGACACTTTCTTAACGTGTATATTGTGCAATATTATCATTATTTGCATGCTTAAGTTTTAATACATTATCATTTGTCGCTACTATTTATTTCAGGGGTCCAATCAGCCACATTCACAATAAAAAACAACTGCGCTTACACAATATGGCCAGGAACCCTAACCGGCGGTGGCAAGCCTCAACTGCCTTCCACCGGATTCGAGCTCGGCCCCGGCGCCTCTCAAACCCTAGACGTCCCCGACGGTTGGTCTGGTCGTTTCTTTGCCCGGACCGGGTGCTCAGCCTCCAGCGGAAAATTCTCGTGCGACACAGCCGACTGTGGCTCCGGCCAGATGGCATGCTCCGGCGCCGGAGCAATCCCGCCGGCGACTTTAGTCGAGCTCACTCTCGCCGAAAACGGCGGCCAAGATTTCTACGACGTCAGCCTCGTCGACGGCTTCAACTTGCCCGTTGCGTTGGCGCTACAAGGCGGCTCCAGCGGGTGCCAGAGCACGAGCTGCCCTGCGAACGTCAACGCTGTCTGCCCGCCAGAGCTGGCCATGAAACGACCCGACGGGGCCATAATCGCCTGCAAGAGCGCGGGTCTAACTCCACTTTTTATTATTATTATTATTTATGTTAAAGTGCTCCAAGATCCGTAGTTTAATAAAGGAGCCATCTCCACTAACATGATAGGAGACAAGCTGTAATAACCAAGAAGTGTAATCAATTTCAAGGATATATATTGAATGCACTTTTATATTAATTGTTTTAGTTAAAAATGTTGTCAGCTTTTATGTGTAATAAATCTAGAGAAATGCATAAGAGCTTGTGATGAATGATTTTGTTTTGTGTAAGAAAATGAAATGATCAGAAGTTCTTTTTTTTTTATGGAAAAAAATGATCAGAAGTTTTTATGAATGGTGTTTAGGAATTCCGAAATTGTGTTTAGTTTTTTTTATTTTTTATTTGAGTATACAAAAAATGAAACTCGCGTATTTGTTAACGATCATAATAATATTTCTAGAATTTCCCCAAACAATTAGAGGAGGAAAATGTTTAGGCCTTTGCACTGATCTCTACGACCTTAAATAATTTATAGTTTAAAAAATTTAGTTTGAATTAATCCATCAAACATCTTCACTCATCAGTTAAATAATGCTAAGGTTTGCACAAAAATACAAATATTGTATTGCTCAATATTATTAAAAACATGAGCAGATTAATATAATAGTATTTATGAATGATCATGTATAGGTCTAGCCCACAGGACCTTCCCTGTGGTGGCTCATCTAATGAGTAAATAGAATTCCACTTATAATTTACATATTCAGAAGAAAATTCTCTGGCCTTTAGGAAGGCCGTCCGTCTATCACGGGGCGCAGACATGTCCGAAGTCTAACCACGTTACTCACGGTGGACACGTGGCCTCGTATGCTTATCAATATATATATATATATATATATATTTCTGTCTTACCATGTCATTTGTCCTATCCAATTGACTTGATCATTAAAAACTCTTCATCTTAATTTCTTGGAATTTTTTTTAACTTGTGGAAATTAATAGAGACTATTGATCTAGAGGCTTATTAAATATTTGTTGAAAGTTCCACATGAAACTCAATAGGGGCTATTGATCTAGAGGCTTATAAATATTTGTTAAAAGTTCCACATATATCATATCATCAGATGGTCTCGTTAGTTTCGTGGGTTCAAATTGTGTGGTTATAAATTTTTAAGTTTGAACTTATATGTAGATTTTATGTAGTTCAAATGACTTTTAATAATGCAAAGTCAAAACAGGAAATAAAACATCAAATCGGAGAATAAAAATTTAAACTGGTGTTTGGTTAGCGTTAGAATTGTTAGTAAACTATAAATAGAACCATGGTTTTAAAACCATAAATAATGTAGCAAATAGGTTCAAATCCATGAGAACTTAAGGCTGGGGGGGTGGGGGGTGCGGAGGGAGTTAAGATAGAGTGTTGAAAAATGTTATTAGAGTTTTACAACAAATCTTACAAAATCTCATTGTACATGACATATTCAAATATATATATAATATGAACCTTACTGAACCAAACATGGAGTAAGTCCTCCAAAACCTAAAATTTTTGGGTTTCCAAGCATTCTCGACCAAAATCCTAGTAAAACTAATCTCGTTCATTTCGCTTATTCAAGTTGAGAATTTGAGTTGAAAAGTAAATTAATGTGAGAGGAAATGATTACGCCCAAACGTGTACAAAAACAAGCGGTCAATTGTAGTACAAAAATATTATTAAAAACATGAGCAGATTAATATAATAGTATTTATGAATGATCATATATAGGTCTAGCCCACAGGACCTTCCCTGTGGTGGCTCATCTAATGAGTAATTAGAATTCCACTTATAATTTACATATTCAGAAGAAAATTCTCTGGCCTTTAGGAAGGCCGTCCGTCTATCACGGGGCGCAGACATCTCTAAAGTCTAACCCCGTTACTCACGGTGAACACGTGGCCTCGTAAGCTTATCAATATATATATATATATATATATCTATATATATATATATTTCTCTCTCTCTATCTTTTTTTTTATATCTAATTTTTT